ACATTTATTTACAGTAGTAATACAAGTTTTAGTTATTTTCTAAAGGATGTAAAATAGATATAAAGATAATAATTATGTTTTTACAATTTGATGCAAATATATATAAAGGAAAACTGATTATTTTGTTTATTAATATTTTATTAATTAGTTTATCTATTTTACTTTAAGTAATTTTAAGAAATAATTTACATTAAAAAAAAAATTTCATGAAAATAATGTCATAAGAAATACAAGTATACAGTATGCAGTAATAAAGGTTTGTAAAAAAGCTCATTAATGTTGCATGCTTAATTCAGCAAACTGCATCAAGTTATTTCAGAAATTAATGTGTTCAAAGTGGTTTAAGTACAAAAAATAAAAATAAATGAATGCGACTAGTGTGTATTTTATGTGTAAAAGCCTTGGCAGTCTTTATTCATATAATGAGAAAATATGTTAGATGTGTAATATTGCTCACTAAAATTAAAACAGAAAAGTTGTTTTTTTTCTAAATTAAATAAAATAACAAAAATATATATTTTTTCTATATAGTAATAAATAATTTTTCTTTTTCTTGTTTATTTATAATAAAAAAGTCAGACTTGTGAGAAGAAAACTCAAAAGGTCAAAAAGGTCAAAACTGCAAGCTGTAAACTCAGAAATCTGAGAGAATGTAAAAATTGCAAGATGTAAAGTCTCAAATATGAGTTTATAACTTGCAATTGTGAGAAAAAAGTCAAAACGGCAAGATATGAACTAAGAATTCTGAGAGAAAAAAAGTCAAAGTTGAAAGATGTAAACAGAATTCTAAGAAAAAAATTGAATTACGAGATGTGAACTCAAAATTCTGAGAGAAAAAGTCAAAATTGCGAGATGTAAACAATTATGAGTTTGTAACTTGATATTGTGAGATAAAAAGTCACAATCATTCATATTTTTCTTTTTTTTTCCCTGCAAGGAAAGCTTGTATCATATACTACCCACAGTATGCATACTGTTACAGTGGTGTGAGTAGTATGCTAGTATGCCAATCCGAACAAACCCAAGCTCACCTTCCTGTGGGTTCAGCTCCACATTAAGCGTGTCCTTCTTGACGGTGTCCTTCAGCACGCCGGTGTAGTACATGACCGCCACCTGGCTGTGGAGGGTGGTTCTGCGCGGCTGAGAGCTGGTGTTCTTCACCACGATCTTCAGCTGAGCGTCTCCTCCCATGCGTGGACCTTCTCCCTCCATCATCACCTCCACCCGCACATCCTCAGCAATGGGACTGGAGTAGACGTCGGGTTTAGAGCCATAGCGACAGGCGGTTTCCACAGCGATACGCTCCTCTTCCGAGCCTGATGTGACAGATTAAATAAGATAATTATACTGTATGTATCCTACATTTTTCAAAATGTTTTCTTTTGTGTTTAGCAGAATAAAGAAACGCATACAGGTTTGGAACAAGTTGAGGGTGAGTAAACGTTGAGAGAATTTTGATATTTGGGTGATCTGTCCCCTCTTATTTGTTTATATTTTGTGTAGCTGAGTAACTGAGACAATGCTGATTTTGTTTCCTGTGGGTGGAGCTCGGTGAAGTTTAAACTACCCATTTGGAGATAATGACAGGTATTTTGGTGAAAAGGCTGAGTGATTACGGCAGAGGAATGTTAAGCCATTTATCGCCGGTTTAAACGGGTATTGTGTGCTCTTGGCTGCCTCTGTCCTGGCATTAGCCATCATTTCTGCTCGGTGTTGCTCTGGTAAGACAGCATCGACTAAGAACATGAATTTAAAGGGGTCATATGATGCTGCTAAAAAGAACATTATTTTGTGTATTTGGTGTAATGAAATGTGTTTATGCGGTTTAAAGTTAAAAAAACACATTATTTTCCACATACTGTACATTATTGTTTCTCCTCTATGCCCCGCCTTTTTGAAACGCGTCGATTTTTACAAAGCTCATCAGTCTGAAAAGCGAGGTGTGCTCTGATTAGCCAGCTATCCAGTGCGTTGTGATTGGCCAAATACCTCAAGCGTGAGACGGAAATGTTACGCCCCTCACATACTGTTGATGCCGTGTCCCGGCCGAAGCGATGATTCAAAAACATTAAAACCCATTATAAACCAGGCATTTGTTGCATCCAGTGGGGACATAATTACTGATTATAATGACTTATACTGTCTTTTTACGCATTGCGTTGCATCGCGCCGCGTAAACATAAAACCATGTCTGCATTTGTGATAAGAGAAATGACAAACAACAAGTGCTACTCCACACTGCCCAAAACTCGCGTTTGAATCATCAGTGGCAAATCCTTTAAATGAAAACGTACTTACAGACTGTGAGTCAGAACTGCCGGCATTGTAGTCAACTCTCCCAGGATCAGTAAACAGTCCTCCATAAAATGTGCCGGCAATCCACAGCACTAAGTTGATGTATTCCCTCAGCGACCAGCACAGATCAGCTCTAGGCATAACGAAGCGGATATCGTCCTCATTTTGGTGAGCTGAGTGATTACGGCAGAGGAATGTTAAGCCATTTATCGCCGGTTTAAACGGGTATTGTGTGCTCTTGGCTGCCTCTGTCCTGGCATTAGCCATCATTTCTGCTCGGTGTTGCTCTGGTAAGACAGCATCGATTAAGAACATGAATTTAACTCCTGATTGTATGGATGAATCTCACAAAGAAAAGTTATATTGCTCCCTAAAATTCAAATAGAAAAAAAAATATTATTTTAAAAAAATTTATTTTTTCAAAATAAAATAAAATAAATGCTTTCGATTTTGTTCTATTTGCTAATCACTCCTGATTGTATGGATGAATCTCACAAAGAAAAGTTATATTGCTCCCTAAAAATCAAATAGAAAAAAAAATATTATTTTAAAAAAAGTTATAAAATTTATTTTTTCAAAATAAAATAAAATAAATGCTTTCGATTTTGTTCTATTTGCTAATCATTTTCTTTAAGTATTTTAATGTATATTAAAATAAAAATTATTACAACAAATAATACATTAAAAATAATTTATATTAAACAAATTTATGAACATATATGTAAGAAAATAGTTTAATTTAATATAAATAATATATTTAAAATAATTAAAATACTTCATACTTTACCGTAATTTACAGTACAAAATATATATTTATTTATATTATAATTTATATGTACATATGTGCAACATAAATATGCATTAATGTATAAATAATGTATATAGGTGTATTTATATCATGTATATTAAAAATTCAGTTTTATTTTTAAATGTAATTTAATATAAATAATATAGAATAATAATAAGACAGCACATTTATTTACAGGTGTAACAAATAATGTAAAACATTTAAAGCACTGTATATAAATGAATAAATAAGTATTGTGTGTGTGTGTGTGTGATGTGTGTGTGTGTATGTGTGTACCTGTTTTTCTATTCTGGTGGGGACTTAAACCTGAATACACACAGACTCGTGGGGACTCGTGTCACGGTGGGGACCTAAATTGAGGTCCCCACGGGTAAACAAGCTAGCT